ATTCAAAGGGATCTTTAAGTTGAATCAACCTCTTGTGGTTTAGTTTAGTTTGTTAAGCCTTCTCAGCTTTACATGATGAAAGCATGGTCAATGCAACCTTGAGTAAAACTTGCATAATTCCTATTGGCGCTTGGTGGCATGCATATTGGGCGTGTCTTTCCACCTTGTTTAACCTACCACCTCTATGTAGTCATTCTCCCCAGCCTACCTTCCCTTGGGTGCATTCTTACTTTCTAAATTTTGAGAGCTCATCTAATCTCAGTCAGTGCTGACTGTAAATCAGTGCTGAGTAAGATGAGCTACCATGACCCCAGAGTGAGTGTGGTTCTGAACACTTCAAACCACTTCTGCATTCTGGGCTGAACTGTCAGTATTGGGTGAGATGGTCCAGAGCAGTACTAAGTTAAACTGTTTAAGGCATTCTTGTCAAAAATGTTCTGCCATTCTGTATAAATTTGTTATAATTAAAGCCTTTTTTAGCTGTTAATGGAAGGAACTGAGTTAGCTGAACTTGAGTGGCTAGAGTTGTGTAAAAGCAGTTAATATAAATTAGAATTACTTAATTGTATTGAGCAGTGGTGGACGAAGTACACAAATCATGTACTTGAGTTAAAGTAGAGATACCCAAGGTAAAATATTGCTCCAGTAGAAGGAGAAGTCCTCCCTTTAGACCTCCACTTGAGTAAAAGTACAAAAGTTTTTGCCTTCAAATGTACTTAAGTATCAAAAGTAAAAGTACTAAAAGATTAATTATGACTCTAATGTCCTATTATCATTTTTATAAGAAGACTCTTGCTTCATTAACTCATTTTAGGTGAAAATATTCTAGAGTCACTCTTGGTAAACCAAACTTTTAATAGAATGTCATTAATTAGTCTCAGTTTCAGTTTAAGATTTATTTGCAACTTAGTTTATATAAATAGTTTAAATTTAAACAAGACAAACGAGTTTAAGTTTAATAAAAACTTGCTTTAAACTCAGGTTCCAAATGGGTTTTCCTTTACTATACTGCATCTGTAGGTCTCTCATAAACATAAACTAGCCAAAACAAATTTACTATACAATGAAATGTTTGTATAAAGTCAGAAAAAAGACACACGCCAGTCACAACTGCATATGTGTGCATATTTATATATTGTGGTCTATTTACACAAAGTTAGGTTAGTTCCATCATTTATGTTGGAATAGACACTCCCAAAATGTTACCCTGCTGCACTGACGTTGAACCATATGCTTGCACTGGGTCGGTATGTCCAACAGGTCAAAACAAGCTCAAAACTAAGTGTGCGCTGTACCCTGATTGGTGTTCTTGCTTCACGCTTCTTTCGTTTTGATATGTTACATTTTTATACACACAGAAGCCAAAAGGAACGACAGATTTCACATAATGTAGTGGAGTAAAAAGTAAGATATTTGACTTTGAAAAGTAGTGGAGTGAAAGTAAAAAGTCACCCAAAATGGAAATATTTCAGTAAAGTGAAGATACACAAAAAAAGTACTGAAATACAGTACCGAATTACATTTACTTAGTTACGGCGGCACGGTGGCGCAGTGGGTAGCGCTGTCGCCTCACAGCAAGAAGGGCCTGGGTTCAATTCCCGGCCGGGTGACCAGGGTCGTTTCTGAGTGGAGTTTGCATGTTCTCCCCGTGCCTGCGTGGGTTTCCTCCCACAGTCCAAAAACATGCAGTCCGTCCAATTGGACGTGCTAAATTGCTCCTAGGTGTGAATGTATATGTCTGTCTGTCTGCCTGGCGATGGACTGGCGACCTGTCCAGGGTGTGTCCTGCCTTATGCCCAATGACAGCTGGGATAGGCTCCAGCGACCCAGAAGGATAAGCGGTTTAGATGATGGATGGATTTACTTAGTTACTGTCCACCACTGGTATTGAGTTAGTACCATTATTATGTAAGTCCAAAATACGCAATCATTTTGAGATCAGAGTGATTTACTCAGTTTAGTTAAGTGCATACAACAATACACAAAAGTGTTGTTCATACTCAGTTCAGGAAATTACTCATGGTCAAATGATATGAGTGAACCATTTGAGTTTGCCTAACTCATCAGATTTGAGTTATTATTTATACTTAAATGGTTTAAGGCAATCAGTTTCCTTAAACTGTTTAAATTTACTGAACTCATTAGGTTTTACAGTGTTCTCTGCATACTTTGTTAGCCCCTGTTTACCCTGTTCTTCAGTGGTCAGGAACCCCATGGACCCTCATTCTCAGCACTGCAGTAACACTGATGTGGCGGTGGTGTGTTAGTGTGTGTTGCGCTGGCCTGAGTGGATCAGACACAGCAGTGCTGCTGGAGTTTTAAAACACCTCAGTGTCACTGCTGGACTGATAATAGTCCACCAACCAAAAATATCCTGCCAACAGTGTCCTGTGGGCAGCGTCCTGTGACCACCGATGGAGGATGAAGGAAAGGAAGGAAATTTTTACCAACAATAACTGAGTTACTTGTGAATATTCCTACATCAAACATCATGAAATATTGCCCAGTGAAAAGAAGTTGTTTTTACCTAAACTTTTGTATTTACCTGTTTTTCATCAAAAATAGAAATCCGTAGGGCTAGCTGGCTCGTCAGTCGAGGGGCAAATGTGGGATGTACATGCAGATACATCCTGTAGATCTTACTGCCCCTGTTTTGAGATCTTCATGTATTTTCAAGCAAAGACGTAGCAGTTGTCCAGACACGTGCTGTAATTTTCACCACAGTGTCTTTTTGGTCTTGAGTATCTAAGTTTTTATAACCATAATTTTCATAATGGTATTATAACCCCACAAATTAAAGTTTATTCTTTCTTTTCCTGACTGTTAGTCTGTCTGTTTTTTTTTTGTTGTTGTTGTTGTTTTTTCCTATTTCTTTATGCCTTTCTTTGTATTTCAGTTAATAGGGAGCATGGTAGTCTTCCTTATGAAAAGTGGATCAGCGCAGCCCTTTCTTTTTCATTTTGGGGAAAAGAGAACTACTACAACTCCAAATCATAAAAGGTTTGGAAAACAGTAATTTGTAAATTTGTTTTGACTTGTGTTTCATTGAAAACAATAAACTAATACATTATTTGATGTTTTATCTTATTTTTTTTTCTAAAACACTTATTTCAATGTTAAAAATAACAATAAAATAAAAAAAATACAATTTGGAAAGTGAAGCTGGCTTTTCACTGGGAGAATTTATTTTAAAATGTTTTAATTTGGTCCCATTAAAAGTGTTCTGATTAGCAGTGTAGAGGGTAGTGAAATGTTAAGTGATGTACTGAATGTATTTAGTCTTCTCCACTACTTGTTGGGTGAGGGGAAAAAGCAGAATATCACGCTGTAATGATTGTCTGCAGTGATGTCAAGAGGAAACGTTTAAAAAGATTGTAAATGTAATTGTGAAAAGTGAGTACATTTTCCTTTAAACAAAGGTCAGTGCAGGGTTTTGATGACCACATGAATGCCTTCTGCTTTCAGGACACAACAGATGGCTTTACAGTCATTTGTGTTGATTTGAGAGACAGTTTTCATGGATGATGGAATGCATACAGTGCCTTACTGCAACTTTGTGATGTAAAATGCCACAAGTTCAACACAACAGGTGCAGTTTATGAAAAAGGCAATTTGTGGTTTACTGCAGTACTAATTTTTAAATTAAATCTTCTCAATTGATTTTGAGTTATTGTGTTTTTGTATAAAATCCCAAAATGAAATGAATTACTCTAGTGGAGTTTTTTTGCATGTACTCCCAAAAGTTTTGAAATATTAAGAGTTACAATTTCAGCAAATGACAACATCACACCAACACTAGTATCTCACGTAACAGCACGACCTTGAGTGAATTATTGTCATTATACCAGTTCGATCACTGATAGGCCTATTTATTATTAGATTAACAGACAAATAGTGACGAAAATTGAATAACATGAAAGCATATTTACTATTATTTGGTTAATAATTAAAGTCAGAACAAACATTTATTTCAAGTGATCATAATTTAATTGGCACAAACAAACATCAGTTTATACAAGCGCTAAATACTTTATTAACATTAATTGTCTTAATAATGTTGAGGCTTATGAATTATTAACGTTAACTATTAGTAACTGATTTAATTTTAATTCATTTTACCTAAATGTAAAACATTACCAAAAATTACAGCAATTAAGAAGCAAAGGAAGAAAAGGGAATACAAATAAACTTGGACTATTGATGTATATTATAAGACAGGAACCACAAGCATCTAGAAGATGCAATGTTTATAACACAACATTGAACATTTAATCTTGTAATTTCAAAAATAGAATTGAACAGTTTGCCCTTTTATTTCCATACAAAATTCGTCTTGCCCTTTACTGTTACCTAAATACTAGATACTCATTGATTTGGAATAAGCCTATGAAACATAATATCAGTAAAATGTTTATTTATCCTTGCCAAGTTTACAAATTTGTGTGGTCTAGCCCAGCAACAGTGTAAACTAGTAGTATTAAACAGAAGTGGGAAGAGTTGCAGATCACAGTTATTTGCAGTTGGTCACAGAGGATTTCATAGTACTGTGACATGGGGCAGCGGAGGTCTGTGGGGAAAAAAGACGTTTGACTTGACATTTGACTTGTACCTGTAAACAAGCACATTATGAGCAGACTGAAATCTCTGAAGTCCCTAATAACACTGCTGGTGAAGTGGCCAGTCAATGGCGGCCGCTAATAAAATGGCCGTGCTGTGGCCGCTCAGTGGCGGCCGCTAATAAAACTGGCCGCGCTGTGGTGCGCTCCATGGCGGCCGCTAATAAAACTGGCCGCGCTGTGGCCGCTAATACAATTGGCCGCTCAAAGGCGGCCGCTAGTAAAACTGGCCGCGCTGTGGCCGCTCAATTGCGGCCGCTAATACAATTGGCCGCGCTGTGGCTGCTCAATGGATGCTTCCTGCGGCTACAAGAGCGTCCACTTCCGCCCGCCATCCGGCTCGCAGAGATCCAACCCCCTCTCTCCACTCATTTAAGTGTGGAAATGAAAGTAGAAGTTGTTCAGTCTGCTCTCTGTATCTGAAACTGGCACCAGGCAACGACACCGGTAAGATGTGATGCCTTCATGTCTGTTATCTGACAGCCATTCTCTCACAGTTTCAGTCTTGTACAGTGCACTGACTTAGTGATAGTTAATCACTTAGTTAATAAGTTAGATGCTTTTAGGGTAAATGCTTAATGCAGGACTGCCACCTGTAATGAATGTGGGAGTTAGATCTCACATTCACATTTTTATGTCTAACTAGAAACGATCTCCCGACCAAATTAGAACGCTCATAATGTTTTCTACTACTGCTACCCTTCTAACTCTTTCTACTTAAAGAAATGAGGATCTTTTGTATTTTCGACAACGATGAATCAGTCCTAGAAGCAGCAGATCCGGTTCTATGTATGTAGGGTGTGTCTGCATAAAGGCCTCAGCATACTTCTTGCGGAAAAAAACGTTCGCCTGGCTTTAGCGAACAATATGACGTAATTGCAGAGAACACGAACAACCGCAGACGTCGCGCGGAGGCTTCGGCTTCGGCTTCGGCTTCGTTCGCCGAGTCGCGCAACAGGGCGAGCTCCGCGGACAAAGACGCTATGCGACAAAGCATGTGATTGGTTAGTAAGGGGGCGTGCCATGAAACAAAGATGGACCACTGATATTTTTGGTTGGTGGACTATTCTCAGCAGTAGATCTTTCTCTATCTCTTTCTTTCTCTTTCTCACTCTTTTGAGGAGTAGGTGAAGGTTCGGGGCAACGTTCCAGAAGACTGGCATTTATGAAAGTGAAAGGATATAAAAATGTGTGCATCCTGCATCCTCTTGAGGCCTGCATATTTGGGAGAGAATTGAGAATTCAAGCAACATGAAGAAGCTTGTACAGAATTTATTGGAATTATGTATTTTTCTAATAGTCTGTTCATGACTGAATTCACTTAAAGTGCTGAGAATAGCATATAAAAGATTGTACATTTTAAAAAGATGGCCAATTACACTACTTACTATTTAGGATGCAAAAAGTTATTTATCAATATAATGCCCTTTTACTCCCTGCACAAAACCGCAAAAATAACTATTCTAACACTACAAGCTGCAGAAGAACTACACTATGTCATCTGTAAAGCAGTGTCAATGTCACTGTAAAGCAATGTCACTGTCTTTGTGTCACCAGAGGGAGCTAAAGTCATTTATACTCAACTAACAGTCTTTAGTTGAACCTCTAACCTTTGTTTCACCGAGATTTACTTTTTTCAGTTGAATTTTGATGGTAATTTGATGTGAATTTTGATGTAAATTGCTTTCTAGGTTCATCTACTAGGAGTTTTCCAGGCAAAGCCAAGACAGCATGTAGAAGAATATTCATAAAAAAATATAAAAATAAAAAACAGAAAGCAAACAATCTGGTAATGGTGCAGTCAGCTAAGATTAAGTTATAAAGAAATCACTGTGAATAAAAAAAAAAATACATTTAAAATGTTCACTTATTATTTTGTTAGAATTTAATATGGGTCAGACACAAAGCAAGCACTGGGTCCTACTGGCTGCTGGTTCCAAAGACTGGACAAATTACAGACATCAGGTATGACTATTTTCATTAAAGCATAAGTCAATTTTCAAAGTGAGGGCACCATGTAGCTCCTAATCATAGAGATTTTTTCTTCAGAAATCTGCAGCACATAACATGATTCAGAGTTGGCATGAGGTGTAAAATGGCATTAAAAACAAAACAAAATGATAAGTATATTCTGTTTGACCAATAGTAAATTGAAAACATTACAAAGACAAGGCATTTTTTTCTTTTAACTTATGAACTCTACTGCTTTCATAAATACATGTTACAACTCCATTTCCAAAAAAGTTGGGATGCTGGGCAAAATGTAAATAAAAATAGAACTAAATATGTAAACCATTAAAAACCCTATATTTAATTAAAAATAGTACAAAGACAATATACCAAATGTTGCAGGTGAGAAATGTTATTGTTTTTTTTTTTAAATAATAATGCCCATTTTGAATTTGAAACCAACAACACATTTCAAAAAAGTTGGGACAGGGCATGTTTACCACTGTGTTTCATCACCTCCTCTTTTAATAACACTCTGTAAGCATTTGACAACAGAGGAGACCACTTGCTGCAGTTTTGAAAGTGAAATGTTTTCCTGTTCTTGCTTGATGTAGGATTTTAGCTGCTCAACAGTTCGGCATCTGCTTTGTCATATTTTTTCATTTGATAATGTGCCAGATGTTTTCAGTGGTGACAGGTCTGGACTGCAGGCAGGCCAATTTAGCACCCAGACTCTTTTACTATAGAGCCATGCTGTTGCAATACATGCTGAATTAAGTTTGGCAATATCTTGCTGAAATAAACAAGGCCTTCCCTGAAAAAGACATTGTCTGGATGGCAGGATATGTTGCTCCAAGCCAGATGGTCCCTCTCCTCTTTAGCCCGGAGGACACAGTGTCCATTACTGATTGAATTGAACCACAGGACACGTTTCCACTTCACTTCAGTCCATCTTAAATGAGCTCAGGCCCAGAGAAGGTGGCAGCATTTCTGGATCCTGTTTATTTATGGTTTCTTCTTTGTTTGGTAGAGTTTTAACTTTCATTTGTGGATGCAGTGACGAACTGAGTTTACAGACAGTGGTTTTCAAAAATGTTGCTGAGCCCATGCAGTGATTCTCACTACAGAGTCAAGTCTGGTTTTAATACCATACCGCCTGAGGGCCCAAAGATCATGGCCAGCCAATATTGGTGTTCAGCTGTGTCCCTTGCATACAAAGATTTCTCTGGATTCTCTGAATTTTTCAATGATATTATGTACTGTAGATGAAGAAATCCCCAAATCCTTTGCTATTTTATGTTGAGAAACATTATTTGCCCATGCAGCCTTTCACAGAGTGGTAAACCCTTCCCCATCTTTACTTCTGTGATGATCATTGCATGGGTATATGCAGTGATAATCACTGTATGGGCTCAGCAAAATTTTTGAAAACCACTGTCTGTAAACTGACCAACTGTTACTGACCAGCCTAATCCGATTAACCTAATTAGTTGTGAGATGTTCTACCAAGTGTTTTTTACCAGTCTTTTGTTGCCTCGTTCCAACTTTTTTGAAACTTTCTTGTTGCTGGCATCAAAATCAAACTGGTCATATATTTTTCAAAAATGAAATAAAAATTCCCAGTTTCAACATTTGATTTGTTGTCTTTGTACTATTTTTAATTAAATGTAGGGTTTAAATGATTTGCACATCTTTGCATTCTGTTTTTATTTACATTTTGCACAGCGTCCCAATTTATTTGGAAACAGGGTTCTAATTCCAAATATGATGTCTGCAACATGTTCCAAAAATATAAGGTGAAATACCTACAATCCTTGCAAATGCTTGTTGAGGAACATTGTTGCTGAGGAACATTGTTGACTATTTGCTGATGCATTTTTAGGCAAAGTGGCAAGCTTCAGCCCATCGTTAAAGGACTACACCTTTCCCGGATGCTCACTTATACCCAAGCATGATTACATCACTTCTATTAAAATGTTTTTTGAGCATTCAACAACATTTCTAGCAATTCTTAAATGACCCTCTCCAAACTTATTTGGAATGGGTTGCAGGCATCATTTTCAGAATTAAATCTGCATTTCACACACTGTAACAACAATTTTGGAATTGGGTTTTGCAAAACATATTTTTCTTTATCTATTCTTTAGGCTTGCGTCTGCCATGCCTATCAAATGGCTCGCCGCAACGGCGTTCCAGATGAGCAGATTGTGGTTATGATGTATGATGATATAGCTCGCAATCAGGAGTGAGTATGTGACAAGAGAAATGGTTGTTTATAGTGCTTCTATTTGTTATATTATCTGAAATGATGTTTGTGAAATTGATACCAGCAGCAGAAAGACTCCAGCTTTTCTCTTTCTCAACAGTAACCCATATCCAGGACGCATCATCAATGTGCCCAATGGACCTAATGTTTACCAAGGAGTTCCGAAAGACTACATTGGAGAAGTATGTATTCTATCAAATTTCCATTATACCACTAAATTCTATGTGCCTGATTTTACTGCTGATTCCTTGATTCCCTGATTAGCTGATTGCCAAGCTCTTTATAAAATGGAACTAGTTGAATTAGCATCTGCAAGACATTGGAATTGGAAACATATGGTTTAGCACTATACATATGAGAAAGTATTTCTTATGGCAATAGTGTATGAAGGGTTTTGCAAAACGCATTTTTTCATGATATATATTGTTGTGAGTGTGCTTTACACATGCAAGAAATATCAGTGTATGATTTATACTACCTTTATTAGAGAAATAAAAATGTTTTCCATTAACATCAGCTGTTATTCACTTCATCTTATATTCAAAACTGATAAAAATGGATACACAGCATTTTGGAAAGAAACTCTTCATATATTGACAACACATTTCAGACTTTTAAACTGACTTGTATTTTAGACTAAAATTCTTTTGATTTGAGTGACCTTAGGCCTTAAACAACAATGCCTCTGAAACTTTATCAGATGTTTCGGTAGTGACTGTTTCAGTAATATCAATTTTGAGCAAAACTCAAAAACCAGTACATGACTAGCAAACACAGCTTTGAACAGTTCTACACACATAAAATCATAATATGTTTCATTAAAACACAAAAAATTTACTTAACTGCAGAAAGTATGTGTTTTGGTAGTGACAATGCAGGGATGGTGTCTCACTTCTTGCTCTTAAATGCACACGTGTGGCTAAAATATATGTCTAAAACTCTGTTTTGTATCTAAAAAGTTAAACTCATGATAAATCTAAATCTTACAACTTTAGAAATCAAAAAGATCTTCACAAAAAAAAATATTCTAAGTTGAAATTCAGGGGTTAGATATTGGGACAGTCACCTCCTAATAGACAGAAAATGATGATTTTGTATATATTTAGCTAATTGCTATCTCAGTTAAAGCATTAAATAGATTTACATAGATAACACAATCCCTACAATCTCCCTGTATCTCGATCTGTACACATATTTTTTACAGGATGTTTCAGTCAAAAACTTTCTGGCCGTCCTTCGTGGAGATGAAGCAGGTGTTGTTAAACAGAACAGAGGACCAAAAAAGGTCTTAAACAGGTAATTTTTCCTCCAATTTTGAATAAAAATATTTAAAACAAATCAGTTGATTCAAAATCTACTGGTCAAATTGCCGGACTGTTCCACTCTATTCCTCAACAGTGGTGAAAATGACACAATTTTCGTCTATCTGTCCGGCCATGGAGCAATAGGATTGTTTGCCTTTCCCACGGAAGATGTAAGCTTTGATAGTTTTCTTAGTTATTTGATACTTTTAGTAAAGATCAGCATCAAATCTGTTTTATCATATTTCAGCTTCATGCATCTGATCTTGTTGGCACTATAAACAAGATGTCGAGACTCCAACAGTTCTCAAAGGTCAGTAATCGAATACCGCAATGTTGTGCACTTTTTACTTATTTCTGGAAGAAATTTCATTCACACTGTCATATGTAACATTGCAGTTGGTGATTTATGTAGAAAGCTGTTGTTCTGGATCAATGATTGCTGATCTCCCAAAAAATGCTCAAGGCAAGTTTTATCTTAGACTGGAACTACTGAAAATGCTTTATTTTGTTATTAATTTATATATTTGTTTATTTATTTGCTTGTTTGTTTATTTATTTGTATTTAGAGGAAGGCTTATGAAAATTGCTTTTGATTTAAGCTTTTAAGGCTTTTATCCCTTTGCATTCTAGTTTATGGGGTGTCTGCCTCCACTCCTTTAAAGCCCTCCTATGCCTGTTTCCTGGATAACGACAGACAAACGTTTCTCTCCAATGAATTTACTTCACAATGGCTGTTGCACAGCAAAATGGTCAGTTGTAATTTTTTGCTATTGAAACAGACAGTAAATCAGGACATATTTGTTTCAGTGAAAGCACTGCATGTTTTCAAAAGGTCAATTTCTATTTCCTCTTCAAACAGTCTGATCTTACTAGCACAACCTTCCAGGAACAGTTTGAGTATTTGAAGAATGAGGTCACGAACTCCACTCCTTGTCAATACGGCAACAATGTGAGTACAAAGTAGAAACTTACAATGTAATGTAACTCAGATTCTCTAATATGTAAATGTTCCCTCTGTTGAAAAATGTTCTTTCACTGAATAAAATTTATGGAAAGTTTTTATACAAGCCAACATATCTCAAAGCACAGCTTTGTTTCCCTTTTTTCCACACTTTTCCCCCAGGAGCTTAGTAAACTGTTGATTAGCAACATTTTGGGTTGTCCTGACTCCAGAATTCCGGCAGCACCCATTAGCGCAGATGAAGGAGTCAGACCTACTAACCTTACCCCATCCCATGATGTCCCACTGATAATTCAACAGAACAGAATTCAGAGAGAAAAGGACCCAGAGAAAAGGAGAGCTCTGCAGAGAGATTATGACAAACTTCTGCAGGTAAGGACTGACTCCAGTCCCACTGAACTGATCTTTTATTTACAACTCCATTTCCAAAAAAGTTGGGATACTGTGCAAAATGTAAATAAAAACAAAATACAATGATGTGCAAATCATTTAAACCCTGTATTTCATTGAAAATATTATAAAGACAACATGTCAAATGTTGAAACTGATAAATGTTATTGTTTATTGAAAAAATATTTGCCTATTTAGAATTTGATGCCAACAACACATTCCAAAACAGTTGAGACAGGGGCAACAAAAGGCTGGTAAAGTTGTGTAATGCAGTACAGGCAAATAGTACAACACGTTTCTCAATGTAAAATAGCAAAGAACTTTTGCTTTTCATCATCTGCAGTGCATAATATCATTAAAAGATTCAGAGAATCTGGAGAAATCTCTGTATACATATAGAGGGGTGCATTAGTGCACATGGCATGGGTGACGTGCACATCTGTGAAGGCACCATTAATGCTGAATGATAGATACATGTTTTGGCAACATATGCTACCATCCAGATGATGTTGTTTTCAGGGAAAGCCTTGCTTATTTCAGCAAGACAGTGCCAAACCACATTCTGCATGTATTATAACAGCAGGGCTGCGTATTAAAAGAGTCCAGGTGGTAAACTGACCTGCCTGCAGTCCAGACCTGTCACCACTGATAACATTTGGTGCATTATGAAATGAAAAATATGACAAATGAGACCTTGAACTGTGGAGCAGCTGAAATCCTATATCAAACAAGAACAGGAAAACATTTCACTTTCAAAACTGCAGCAGTGTCTCCTCAGTTCCCAAACACTTACAGAGTGTTGTTAAGAGAACAGGTGATGAAACACAGTGGTAAACATGCCCCCATCCCAACTTTTTTGGAATGTGTTGTTGGCATCAAATTCAAAATGGACATATATTTAAAAAAAATAAAATAAAATCTTTCAGTTACAACATTTGATATTTTGACTTTGTAGTATTTACCTTCAAAAATATGATTTACATGATTTGCATATCATTGCGTTCTATTTTTTTTTCTTTCTGCACAGCATCCCAACTTTTTTGGAAATGGGGTTGTATTTCTCAAACAGAAAATTTAGGAAACTCACAGATCAGATAATCTTGTAAAGTGTGCAGTACTTGTAAAAAGAAATTGGAATTTTTGTGTGATCATTCACAAACTCAGTTTCACTGCTATAACTGGATCACATGCATATGAATTTTTTTTTCAGACGAGAAATAGGATTGAAAAGGCCGTGCGGGACATTGCTAAGCACGCATGCCCTGAACGAGGCCCCAGAGCACTGGTAGCCAGGCGTCCACTGACTCAACTGGACGATATGAAAAAAGTTGCAAAGCATTTCAGACGGACCTTCAGTGAGTGGCATGAGGAGCAGGTGAGCTGTGGCTTTCTCATGTTTTTCATATCAGCAAATATAACTTTATGATATTACATGTAGCTTTATGATATTACATGTAAATCATTTAGTGCTAGAATTAACTAATCCATAAAGAAACTTTCACTCTTTTTCTCTTTTTAGGATGATTGCTGTGCTCTGCAGCATATACATGTTTTTGTGAGCCTCATTGAGTCTGGAGTGGAGGTTGCCAGGTAAGTCAGGAAAACTCATATAAAACTGCATACGGTCATTTTCAGCTTGACCTAGTTAGAAGAGAAAAGGGAAATACTAAAAATATGACTTGAGGTTATGTCTGAATTATTCAATCTGTACTTTTATATTGATCATGCAGACATCAATCCTTATTTCTGTGTTTAACTAGTCTTAAATTATGTGTTTTTGCAGGATTAAAGCAGCTATAACTCATGTGCACTCTCATCGTTGACACTCAACACTGAAGCATCTGCCTTCCCGAGCTTCTGATCAGTTCCTGCTTCACTTTACGCTAGCAAACATCAATGAATGTGATGATAATGATGACAGTGATGATCACATGTTGCAGAAATTACTTAAATGCTTTTGTCCATTCAGAAGTGATAATTTCAGAATAGTTAACACATGATACTAAACAGAGGCTTGCTGGCCTCTTTACAAAAAGCTGTAATTCCTACAAAACAACACACGGAACAAAAGCAACTCTTTCCATCAAACATTACAACTTACAATCAAATGAATAATTTCTTTCAGCCAGTCACTAAAGACAACCTACAGGTCTCAGTTTGAGCCTGTGTAGCCTTTGTTAATTCTTTATGCATGAGCTCTACTACCTGCTGGTACTTTACTCTTTAGTTTTTACTTTGGTTTTTTACATAATTGCTAACAAGCATTTTCAGTACAAAATTCTCTTTTTAAAAACTGTTTACACAGTTAACACAACAACACCAAAACATGAAAAGTTTAATGCTTGAATACAGCATGCTTTCAGTGAAAACAATTTTCAAAATTCTTTAATTCACTCCTCACTCAGTCTCAGCCTTTAACAAACTTTGCAAAGCAAATGCTCGCATACACTATTACAAAACTGTTAGACTTAACTCCGGAACTTAACGTGAAAAACTGCATATCAATTTCAGAACATAAATTGCATATCAAAGTCACAAATACTATGCTGGACAACAATCAAAGCCTAAAATTGTAAAAAAAATAAATAAGTAAATAAATAAATTGTGTAAAATAGATTGTGTGCATTTACACATAATCAGAAACATAAAAACACATTAAAAATGCCCCCCTCTTTTGGTGGAACAGAAAAAATGAAAGTAAGAGATGCTCTTCTCAGTGTAAATGCTGCCCTGCTGTAGAGTGTTTACCTGTGCCTCACCACAAGCAGTTCAATGCATAAATGTCCTGACATGTTGTGCAAGTGACAAATAAACTTGAGACTAAAATTCTCTTTGAGTCCCATTGAGCTATTCCACTCTGAAATCAGCTCTCCAGTATTCAAATTCTAAATAGCAGAGGAGTAAGATTTTATGTGAAGTTTCTTCTTCTTCTTCTTCTTCTTCTTCTTCTTCTTCTTCTTCTTCTTCTTCTCCTTCTTCTTGGATTTCTCTTGTAATACCTGATTAATACATGTTCATTGTTTGCTCAAGGCTCTTGAGTTGGGCTCTGTTTTCCACACTTTGCTAGTGTAGTAAGTAGTTGTTCTAAGATAGGTTTACTAAAGCTTTTTATTCTGGGAAATTTAAATCATAAGTTCTAATGGTGTCGTGAAAGAGATATATGGGCAACATGACACTAAAGTTCAAAACACAATAGTTTTACGTGGGTTTGGTACAATCAAGTAATAAGGAAAATACTACAAAGACAACATATCAAATGTTTAAACGGAGAAGATTTATTGTTTTTTGAAAAATGTATACCCATTTTGAATTTGATGCCAACAACACATTCCAAAAAAGTTGGGATGGGGGCATGTTTACCACTGTGTTTCATCACCTCTTCTTTTAACAACACTCGGTATGCATTTGGAAGGTGAGAACGAACCAATTGCTGTTGTTTTGAAAGTAAAATGTTTTCCTGTTCTTGTTTGATATAGTATTTCAGCTGCTCAACAGTTCAGGGTCTCATTTACCATCATGAACACTGTCCATGCAATGATTTTCACTACAGAATCATGTCTGTTTTTAATGCAGTGCCGCCTGAGGGCCCAAAGATCATTGCCAGCAAATTCTGGTTATTGGCCTTGTCCCTTGTATACAGAGATTTCTCCAGATGCTCTGAATCTTTTAATGTTATTATGTACCATAGATTGGGAAAAGCAAAAGATCTTCGCTATTTTATGTTGAGAAACATTATCATTATTGAATTGTTGCACTATTTGCCTGTGCAAATTTTTGGGAAATGGGGCTTGAAGAGATGAGTTTGTGATTAATCTGTAAATGTTTTTTTGTGTGTGTGTGCCTGGAATTTGGGCTTTTCATACTTGATGAACAATATCTTTTATTCAGTTCAATTAAAATTTATTAATGGGCATCTTCACAAAGTGGACAAAGTGCATGAAGGTTTTGGTTTGGAACTTCAGCCTTGTGTATCCACCATCTTTCGTTTCATTGTTTATCTTTTTACCTGCTAGTTTGGCAGATGAATATCCACACATGTAATTGTATACAGATAATAAAAATGCATTTCATTGTCCCTTGTGTTAAATGTGGTTAAGATCCATCTCTGACCACCTCCGAACGTGATTTGAGTGACCTGATTGTAATACGTTCATGATACATCCTGGGGTGTTTACACTTAGCTTTTCATGCATTCATGTTGTGGCAGGATGAAGTATCTGGATGCCTTTTGCTATGATAGGTGCAATATTCCTCTGGAGGCTTTTATTGTGGTAGTTTTCCCATTTCCTGTAGTTCTCCCCCATTAATTGGTTGCAGGTGTCTGAGTCCTTGAGCAGCATCTCTTTGTTGGCTTTTGGTGCTGTTTGTTGTGGTCTGCTAAGACAGCAGTTGGATCTCTCAGCATTTTTGTGGTGCTGTGGACAGCCTAAGGTAGGAAAAATCTTGGTTGTGATTTTTATTTCAATGGATGGTTGGATCTAACTGAAGTTTTGGTATCTGTTGCAGTCATTGAGTAGTGAGGTGTTACTCCTTTCCTCTTTATTGGGTAGGCCCTAATCTTATCCTACAAGAGGTAGGTTTGTGGGTTTGAATCTTCTTTAGTTTTATTCATGCTTTTTGTAATTTTTATTGGTCTTCTGAAGCTGCAAAAATGAGGGATTCTGATTTTTAGAGCTGCTTTGTCCTGGCTAGTTTAAGGGTGCTATATGCATATGGAGTACTGAAGTTTTACTTTTTTTAGGTGTTTGTTCCAGTGGGCCTATACTTGACCCTAGATTGGTTGGCTGCTTTGTGATGAGGGCCTGCATGGTTATGCTGTATACCATGAGGGCTCAGAGCTGCTGTTTCCAACCGAATAAGGGTACTCCCATTATAAGGGTAATCATCACATGGAAGTTATTTTATGTAAAATATAATTTTGTAGTATGATTAGTTTTTTCTTTTTGTCCAAAGACAGGGTCTCAAGTCATCCTGCTGTTTTGCCTGTGTTTTTTTTTCTGTTTTCCTCTCTTTGTTTAGTGAACTTTTTTTTGTTTAAGAAGTTTTAAGGTTCTAAGTGTTTTCATTTTGAAGTTGTATATGAACTGTATAACTTCATCTAGTTGGGTTTGTCTCTCTCTTAATATTTTTCTCTTTCTTTCAGATTGGGCTAGGCCAAGTGGTCAGTGGCTTGCAGTGGGTGGCTGTAGCCTAGACAGCTCATCACTGCACTGGGTTTTTTCTTTGAGTTGTAAAATTGTTTTTTTTAATGCTGGGGTGTGTGTGTGTGTGTGTGTGTGTGTGTGTGTGTGTGTGTGTGTGTGTGTGTGTGTGTGTGTGTGTGTGTGGTGTAATAAAGGAATAAACTGGATTCTACTCTCTCTATAAGGTTATATCTTTCTACTTTTGATGTTTTAAAGTAGGACATTGTGTTGTGGCTTGAAGAAATATCTTATGTTCTTGGTTTGAATAATCAATTTTGTCTTTTTGAAAGTTATATTGGTGTATTTTTATTTTGAAAGGCACATCCTTGTTTCATATCTCATATTTTATAAAATAAAAAAGAGAAAATAAATAAAGAATCTCTGGTGCAAACCTATCTCAGAGCACTGAGAAGTGAGAGACATTTTTATTAATTGGTATGTTTGTTTGTTTGGGGGCAGAGTATAGATTTAGTTTGTTTTCCACAGTTTTCTAGGTTAGTAAGGTTACCGTATTATTACGTTAAAGCTTTTTTATTGTGAAAAACATATTTAATTTTCCATTTTGTAAATTAGAATCACTGAGGATGTGGAAAGATATTCTGCGACAGTGTCCTATTTCTCATATGACAGTGGTTATATGTGGTTCAGGCAAAGGTTAAATCAGCTTTTCTTCATCCTGGAAGAAGTTAAATATTTTCCTAAAGGCAGAAAACTTGTACAGAGATAATAACTGATGGTGTATATGTAAAGTAGAATTAGAGATTTGCACAGCAGATTTTCTGCACGGCTCTTGTGAACTAATATACATTGCATATGATGTTTCTTACACTTACATGTAATAAATTACATCAGTTTATATGTTTCATATACATGTAAATATAAGACATATAGATGGTTACAGTAAACATTTGTAAATAAGTTTTTGCGTTGCTGAATGTTAACATGTAATAATGCTGCAAAGCTTATTACATTATGTATTTCGGCTTGGCGGTGGGCTATTTTGGACTTTGCTACAATATATGTTGCAAAGATTTATGAAAGACTGTAGACTAAGATATGATCATGTGAATAACTGATAATCTATACAAGTAATTTTAATAATCTAGTATCTGATCTCTTTCTCTATGGCCGCTTGACCGGAGGCGATATGAAAGTTCACTAAGATACAGTGCTGCTTGAAATATTGTGAATGCTTTAGTGTTTTGTCCATTTCCATATAAGTTTGATCTGAAATAAGATCAGACCTTTGTTTAAGTTTTAACAATAAAGATAACCCAATAAAACAAATAACATCCGAAATTATACAGTTTTTCATTCATTTATTGAACAAAATAATCCAACATTGTGAACCTCTAGAATTAGTTTGGTATAGGTGATAATGGTCAGGAGGTTTAATCAGTTGTATGACAATAAGATGGGAGTATGGCTGACCATACCCTATTTACCTCTGAAAAATATTTGCCAACGCTTAGACTGGAAGAGGTTCCAATGCTTTTCTAAAGAGTGTGGACCTCACTGATCCACTATCGGGGCAGTTCAACACCATTGTTACCGTGAGGCATAACAATAGCATGTAATATTCTGGGACATCACAAAGAACCCCAGGGTAACATGTAAGGATCTGCAGGTCTCTTTTGTTCATAAATCCACCATCAGGCAAACACTGAACAAGAACAATAAGTATGGAATAAGTGCTTGGAGAAAGCCGATCCTTTGCAGGAAGAATATTGCTGCCTATTGCTACCTTATTTAAACTTTCCTAAAGATAGCCAGAAGAATACTGAAATGATGTTGTGAGGAAAACTATGGCAAAAAAGATCTTTATGGCTTAAATGAGAAATGTTGTGTTCCGCAAAAAACTGAACAACACAGTCCAGCATAAGATTCTGATCCTAACTGTAAAACATGGTGGTGGCAGTATCAAGGTTTGAGATTGTTTTGCTGCTATTGGGCCAAGACAGCTTGCCATCATTTGATGGAGCTTTGAATTTTAGACTGTATTAAATTCTACAGGAGAATGTTAGGGCATCCATCTGTGAACTGAAGCTCAACAGAAAGTGGATCCTGCAGGAAGGCAATAACCCTAAAAACGACCAGTTAATCTACAAAAAATTGCTGAAGCACAAAAAATATCAGATTTTGGAATGGCTAGGTCAAAGTCCAGACCTTAATCCAACAGAAATGATTTGCAAGAACCTAAAGTGTAGCGTCAATGCAAGAAAGCCCACAAACATAGCAGAGTAGAGGTAGTTCTGTAAGGAGGAATGTGACATAATTCAGCACAATAACAATAAAATGTTGTGTTATGTATCATTCCTACTGCATATCTTCTTCCAGTAGATTCCAAAAGCCTTAACTGCTGCCTTTTGCTTGTGCATCAGTTCACTTACAGTTAACAGAGTAAAAGATGCTGATATTGAAAAAAATTCTTTCAGGCGGGGTACTCTTTGTAAATGAAAGTGAAAATGCCAATATAGAATCAATTGATGGCCTTAGTGGGGTGGGGTGGGGGGGCACTCCTTTAAAACTGAAGATGAAAGTAAACGTTGTTCAGTCTGCTCTCTGTATCTGAAACAGGCACCAGGAAACAACACCGGTAAGATACAATATCTTAATGTTGGTTATCTGACAGTATTTCTCAGCCAGCTCATTATAGTTTCAGTGATAATAATAATTCATTATAGTAATTATAGCTTCAGTCTTGTACAGTGTACTAAATGCTGTAATGACTGTGGGAGTTAGGTTTAATCTCACATTAACATTTTTATATCTAACTTGAAATGACCTCCTGGCAATTAGAATACACAAAGTTTCTTTCTACTGCTACCCTTCCAGCTCGCTCTGATTAAAGAAATATCAGTCTCCGGTGTTCTTGACAATGATTTGTCAGTTCAGGAAGCAGCAGTTCTGGATCTGGGTGGGGTCAATATATGAAGTTTAAAAATGATGCTGAGCAACAATTACCTGCTATAAAGATCAATATTTATTAAAATGAGAGAATGGGGATTTCATACAACTAGAAGAAATCAAAGCTTATGCAGAATTAAATGGAAAAGCGTATTTTTTAAAATAGTCTGTTCATGACTGAATCCACTGGAAGTACAGAGAATAGCATATAGTTTTTTCGGTACAAAGCCAAATTGAATATACTTTTTTGTCACTAATGCAAATCTTTTTATTAAGACTTTAGTTTTCTTTGCATTACAACATACAGTTCTTTCAGTACTGGTGATATCTAGAATGTGCTCAAAAAAGCATGCTGTGACATAATTTAGCACTATAATGATAAATTACTGTCACATTTCTCTCTCCTACTGCTGCCTTTTGATTGCATCAATTCACTTACAGTTTACAAAGTAAAGAAGCTGAAACAAAATCTATTGATGCCCTTTCTGTGAAGATGCTCTTTGTAAGATTGAAATTAAAAGTAAAGATGCTGATACAGAATATACTGATGCTCTTTCTGTTGGGGTGCTTTTTGTAGGGGTGAAAGTGAAAATAAAAGTTGTTCAGTCTGTTCTCAATATCTGAAACAGACACCAGGCAAAGACACCGGTAAGATATAATATCTTCATGTTTGTGATCTGACAGTCATTCTCAGCTCATTATAGTTTCTGTAATAATAATAATTCATTACAGTCATTATAGTTTCAGTCTTGTACAGTTTACTGAGTGATAGTTAAGAGTAATGGGATGCTTTGGGGTGAATGTGTAATGCAGGACTGCCAGCTGTAACAAAGGAGGGAGTTAGGTTTAATCTCACATTCACATTTTGTCTAACTCAAAATGACCTCCTGACCAACTTAGAGCATTCATAAAGTTTCCTGCTACTGCTTCTACCCTTCCAGCTCTCTCTGATGAAGAAATGTCATTGTTTATGACAGTGATGAATCAGCTCAGGAAGCAGCAGTTCGGGACCTGGGTGGGGTCCTTTGTGAAGGATGTGTACACATAAAAATGATGCTGAGCATCTACCTAAAGATCAATATTTATGAAAGCACAATGATGTCAGAATGTGTGCACTCCTCCACATCTGGAGGTGATGTAGGTCTAGGTATATTTGGGGGAGAATAGGTATTTCAAATAACTAGGCTGCATAAAAGCTAAACCAAAGACCTGGAGAGGGTTACAATAAAACATTCTGGAAATACCACTGTCTTTGCACCTTGTTGCCAGCAGAGGGAGTTATAGTCATTCATAATCATGGATATACATGCGTATATCTATGTTCATAATAAATCAACAGAAGGTTTTGCAAAACAAGTCTTTATTTAAACCTCTGTTTTGCCAAACTTTACTTTCTTTCTGTGATTTTTGATAGTTATTTGTAAAGACTTTGTTTACTGGATTCATATACTGGAAATTTCCCAGACAAAGCTGAACCAACATAGCTAGAAGTGACATCATCAAAACATTACATAAAGCAAGGCAGTAGGACAAACACAATATTTAAAGAAAAGAAATATTGAAAAATATGCAAACCACCTGGTGTGCAATCAGCTGAGATTCTTTAAAAAGGCCAAATAATTGTACATAAATTAATTTATTTCCTGGATTCATGATATTCACTTCTTTCTTTAATTAGCTTTTAAGATGGGTGGAACACAAAGCAAGTGGGTTCTACTGGCTGCTGGTTCCAAAGGCTGGGAGAATTACAGACATCAGGTATGATTCTTGCTTGTTAAGGTATTAGTCAATTTTAAAATAAGGTCAGGTCCTATACTGCTTATCATATAGGAACTCTCTTCAAACATTTCCATTACATGAAATGATTCAGTTTTCAGTTTTTCTCTCAACTCAAACTGAGAAATACTTCCTTGAAATCCAACCTAATTGTTGTATAAACATCTACTCATTAGGCTTGCGTGTGCAATGCCTATCAAATGGTTCATGCCAATGGTATTCCAGATGAGCAGATTGTGGTGATGATGTATGATGATATAGCTCACCATGAGAAGTAAGTATATATATATATATATATATATATATATATACATAGTTTATTTGCTTATGAACTGAATGATATTTGTGGAGTTCAGACCAGAAGCAGAAAGACTCCAGTTTTTCTCTCTCTCAACAGGAACCGAGGACATAAAGGAGAAATCATCAATGAGCCCAAAGGTCCCAATGTTTACAATGGAGTTCTGAAGGACTACATTGGTGCAGTACGTACTCTTTCAAACTTCTGATATAACATTAAATCCTGAGTGCACCCTGACTGTACTGCCTTTTATCTGAATAATCAGCTGATTACCAATCCCTGCATGAACTGGAAAAAAGAATGATTTGGAATCTGAATCTCTAAGATTGGCATTGAGAAGTTGGTGAAGCATCATGGATACGAGAAGGCATTTATACACACACACACACACACACACACACACACAGACGCACACACATGTATATGTAACTTTAAGTGCTTTATTGTCAACTCAGAGAATGTATCCTAGCTAATACAAACAGTTTAGAGTCCAAACTACTCCTCAGCTCAAACACTGCTGTATATTACTGCTGACAGAACAAAACCTCATATCTCCAAAATGGAAACTTACAGGGGATGGAAAAAACCTACTTCACTTTCAATGTAAGTCAGTATAACCAGACTTTTTTGGCTCATTTCTTTTGGTCCATTCATCATGAAATAATGTATACATATGTTTCTAGGAGTGCTCTGCTAAAAGGAGTGCTCTTTATTAAGCACACTGGCACAAATGCATACACAGAACACCCAACTCATGGGGAGGTCATCTTCTGCTGCACACTTCACTCTGACGGTGAACCACCCCCCCCCCCACGCACTAAATAGCACATACACATGTCTTAAACTAACAAACAACATTAAACAACATAAACAGTCCTTTGTTGGACGGAGGCCACATACCACATACCATGAGCCACACCTCCAGAGTCTCTCAGTGCGAGTGCCAGCCAGTAGCGGGACACTACAATATGTATATTAATAATTAGATATGTAGACAAACACACACACATTATGTATTTTACATATTGATTAATTATACACACACACATATCACATGTCCTTCACAGGATGTATCAGTCAACAACTTTCTGGCCGTGCTTCGTGGAGACGAGTCAGGTGTTACTAAGTGTGCAGGAGGTCAAAAAAAGGTCTTGAAAAGGTCAGTTTCACTTTACATCTGTGTTCACTAAAGCAATTTAAAATGAAACTACTGATTCATATTGACTGGTCAGATTAACGAACTGTCCCACTCTCTTCCTAAACAGTGGTAAAAATGATACAATCTTCATTTATCTGTCAAGCCACGGAGGAAAAGGAGTGTTATCCTTTCCCGAGAAAGATGTAAAAAGCTGTATTTTCATACTTTTCATAGTTCATTGTTATATTCAGTAAAAATCTGCATTGGTTGTATTTTATAATTTTTCAGCTTCATGCATCTGACCTCGTTGACACTATAAACAAGATGTCGGGACGCCAACAGTTCGCAAAGGTCAGTGATCAACTAGTGCAGGGTTTTGTGCTTTTTACTGGTTCTTGAATAACGTAATAGTTAAAATGTTATTCACACTCTCATTTGCAACATTGCAGATGGTGATTTATGTAGAAAGCTGTAATTCTGGATCAATGATTGCTGATCTTCCAAAAAACGCACAAGGCAAGTTTTATCCTTACCATAAATACTGTAAACATTTTTACAGTTTTGTTTTGTTTTGTTTTGTTTTTTATTTGTCTTAATTATAGGAATGCAAAAGGCTTCAAGCTTTTAAGGCTTTCATCGCTTTGCATTCTAGTTTATGGGGTGTCTGCCTCCACTCCTGATGAGCCCTCCTGTGCCTGTTTCTTTGATGAAGACAGATGCACATACCTCTCTAACGAATTCACTGCATATTGGCTATTACACAGCAAAATGGTTAGTTGTGATTTTTGCTTAACCCCTATCAAAGAAAACAGTAAATCAGGAAGTGTTTGTTTGAAAGCACTGCATGCTTTCAAAAGATCTTAACAGCACATTTTTTTCCTCTTCAAACAGTCTAACCTTACCAGAACAACCTTCCAGGATCAGTTTGATTATTTGGGTGATAAGGTCTCCCAATCCACTCCTTGTCAGTATGGCAACAATGTATGTACAAACTTACAATTAAATACTCTGATTCTCTGATATGAATATATTCACTCTATATGAAAATGTATTTGGACAAAATGTGACAAACGAAAAGCTTTTATACATGCTAACATATCTTAAAGAAAAGAATAACATAACAACATTGTTTTCCAGGAGCTTAGCAAACTATTCATCAGCATCATTTTGGGCTGTCCTGACTCCAGAACTCAGGCAGCGTATGCGAACAGAGCTAAAACTTTCAAACTAACACATCTCACCCCATCACATGAAGTCCTACCTATAATTCTAAGAAAGGAAATTCAGAGAGAAACAGATCCTGAGAAATGGAGAGCTCTAGAGAGAGATTACTTCAAGCTTCTGCAGGTAAGGACTGATAATAGTCCCAGTGAACTGATATATTTATTTACAAGTGCTTTTTATTTGATAACTCACAAATCAAGTTTAATTGCTGTATTTCAATCATATACATATGATTTATTATTTTTTTAAGACAAGAATTAGGACTGAAAAGGCTGTGCAGGACATTGCTAAGCTTGCACGCCCTGAACGAGGCTCCAGAGCATTGATATGCAGATGTCCTCTAACTCGTCTGGATGATATGAAAGCTGTTGCAGAGCTTTTAAGACAGATTCTCAGTGAGGAGCAGGTGAGCTCTGGCTTTCCCATGTTTTTCATATCAGCAAATATTACCTCAGCTTTGTGATATCACATATAAATGAGGTTCAGTATTTGGATTATCTGACTACCACTCATCAAAATATACATGAAAATAAAAGTTTCACTCTCTCTTTTTAGGATGACTGCTGTGTTCTGTCACAAATGCATGTATTTGCAAGCCTTATTGACTCTGGAGTGAAGGTTGCCAAGTAAGTCAGAAAAAATTATATAAAGCTGCATGCAGTCATTTTCAGCTTCACGTAGATAGAAGTATAACCTGAAATAATGCCAGAATGATTCAGTCTTTACTCTTATATTGTGCATGCTGACATCAGTCTCTACTGCTGTGTTAAAACAGTCTGAAATCATGTGTTTTTGCAGGATTAAAGAGGCTATAACTCATTACATGGATACTGTGAATCGTCGGCCCGTCACTGATGCTTCCCTGCATCAGTTAGCAAACTGCAAACATCAATGAATGTGATAATAATGCTGATGATGATGATCACATGTTTTTGTCTATTCAGAAGTGATATGATATAATAGTTAGAACATGATAGTAAACAGGGGCTCACTGGCAAAAATAAAACACTTTCTTTACAAAATCCTGCAACTCTCACAAAACACCAAACACAGGCCACAAAAGTAACCTATTACATCAAACATTACAACTTAAAATCAAGCGAGTAAATTCTTTCAATCACTAAAGTGGCATACAGCTATTCCATTTTCCTAGGCATTTATACCAGAGCTACATTTAAATGCTATGTACTGCGGACTCCTACCCCAAGCAAAAAAAAACAAAAAAAAACTCTAAGGTCAAATACCTACTATCTCCAGTGTCCTGTTTGTCATTAATTGGGACAATGCCGCTTTATACTAATCTCTCCCTTTTAAATGACTGTAGGAAAAAGCAAGAAATGGAAACAAATGTTTTGAACATATTGGGAGAAATGCGTATTGTACTGTGATGTATTGTGTTGTATTGTATTGTATTTATTTATTTGATTGTTTTATTATAGGGTTTTCAGTACATTATCTTGGGTGACCATTTTGAGTGGTCCTTGTAGATGAAATAAACACTCAGCAGACTCTCAGTAACATGTCAACATGTCAATGATGTAGCAGCAGTGAAAACATTAAGTAGATTATCAAGATACTTTTAATTAACTGTGTGAATAAGATTTGTTTAGAATCTGCTGAATTCAGTTGTTTTTCCCTTTTTTGAAGTGTCCAAATTCATATCTATATGTGTTAACCTGAGAGGTCACTGAACATCATTTCAGCATCCTCAACAGGCTGTTATAGACAAGCTGCTGACATCATTCTGTAACTGGAGCTTAACTGGATTGGGTTTTGGTTAAGGTTAGGGTTAGGATTAGGGCCAAGATAAAGTTTAGGATTAGGTTTTGAGTAAGGCTGGGTAGGTTTAGGTTTCGCCAAATCATACAAAGTCAACTTCATATAACATCAATAATACATCTACTTAATGTAAGCAATGTATCTACAGTACATCTTCAAGGTGTTTGCCAGAATGTACTCAGATGCTTCACTACTCCTACTTCACTGATATGTTGTTGATGTATTACTGATACTCTGTTAAGAGTTTATTAATCATTTACAAAGGACCACTCAAAATAAAGTGTTACCTTACCTTGAAACATATAGTTATAATATCTCTCATAATCTGAATGTTTCAGTCATAATAAGTCTTGTGTAAAACTGATTGATTTCTGCTTACTTCTGCTTTACCAAGAAAGTGAAAATGAATATTGAGTGCACCTCAGTTCCATTACATGTGTTTTAACAGTTCTGAAGTACTGTAATGTGCAGCACAGTACCCAGTGTGAGATATCAGATATTCTACAGAATCAAACAGCAGCTTCCCTGCCTGGTATGAAAGCTTCATGAGTATATGCTCAAGTCAAATAAACACAAGCTAATATCTGTCCTTAAATGTTTTTATTTGCAACAGCAGTAAATAGAAAATGATTGCTTGAAAAGGAACAGAACTGTAAATCAGTGATTAGTTTGCAAATCTGTTTCATGTCGACTCCAATTTTGACCCAGTTCAGAAAAACTTTTGCTTATTAATATCTGCTTAGACATGGAACAGTCATTACAGTGTACAACTAACTACAGTTTTAATCAACCAGGAATTATATATGGACTGCACATATATAATTCCTGGTTGATTAAAACTGTAGTTATATGTTTAAAATCAACAGTATCGAAATGAATAGTGTGATGCAGGTAGTGACTGTGGAATATACAAAATATGAAGGCTTATGGGACTTTGGGCAAAAAGCAAGATTTTTCAAATTCTAGTCTTTATATTGATGCTTCTTTATACCTTCATCAGCTGTGCCAGCCCTGGAGCACATCACACTAAAAGCTAAACTGAAGAAATACACTTAAAAATTAGATTTCAGGATAGATGTTTGAAGAAAACAATAGCAATAATATCAAATATATCAATTCATGTAGTGATTAAGGCACATAAAAACTGTTCTTCTCTCTTTTTTCAGTGCAAATGTTGTGAGGCTCTGGTATACCAGAGGATTTTAACAGCCCATGTCTGCTTATTAAAGAAACTTTTTGTGATAAATTGAGCATAATATAAGTTAGTAATAGCAAGTATTTCCAAATTAGGTTTTGATCTGTGCCCCAGGACTTTACACCACAGCAAATGCTGATTCAGCATTGTGATCCCTTAAAGGGGAAATCTCTATTATCTTGATCATGACATTAGCCAAGATGTCAGTTAAATTATACTTTTTATTGATCTGCTTACAAAGGGAAATTGGATATTCTACTGCCCTTAGTTAATTTTACACCAGAAACAGTAACTGCAATGTTTCCTGCACAGTCATGCACAATATGCCCCTATGTAAGTCAACATAGGCTTTTACACCAGCTGTGTGTTCAAGTCGTGACATTTGTGGCATTTTAGCAGTTTCTATCTAGAAGCAGCACAACATTCAGCATTTTTGCTATATTTTACAATCTGTGCCCATAATCTAAAGAGTAAACAGCTATATTTTAAGTTATTGCAGCAACATTACTTTAATACAAGCTAAAGTTTAGAGTCTGTAACTATGCTCAGTCTGGGATCAGTACATCTTCACCATTCACTATTATGGAGGTGATCATGTGCCTTGTCTAAAGATACAACTTGGAGTACCCAGTTGGTCTTGGGATTAGAACCCACAACCTTTACGGTTAGGGGCTTACCTCTCTTACCTTTTTATCACTCACCAGCCCCTTTTTTGGAAGCCACTTCCTTGTATCTCCACTTTGCTGGTGTACATTTAAAGACAGCAGCCCATGTATTGATGCATAATTTATATTAGTCCACCTCTTCTTCAGTGGTATGCTGCTCTTGGCTGGATGGTTTTGGATGGTGGACCACTCTTAACCCAGCAGTGTAAAAAGCCCAGTAACACAGCTGTGCCTGACACACTCTTATCTGCACAATACACACTACCATATCACCACCATGTCTGCCCATAAGGAAGAGAAATATATGTAAAGTGTATCAACAAATGCATTTGAAAATATATAAAGACGTCATTGTCTATTTTATCAGCTCCACTTAGTTCATCATTTTAGCTATCATTTGGCTAAAAATCAAAACAAACCCATCGGAGAGACAGTAAAAACATTAGGTGTTGTCAAATCGAGAATTTGGTAAATTCTTAAAAAGAAAGAATGCACTGGTGAGCTCAGAAACACCAAAAGGCTCAGAGGACCACACAAAACAACTGAGGCAGAACACCCTCTAAGAGGTAGGTATAACTGTGTCGCAGTCAACAATCAATTAGGCATATTTGTGTCACACTCAACAACCAGGAGCAGACTTCAACAGAGTAAATACAGAGGGTTTACCACATGATGTAAACCATTGGTAAGCATCATCAGCCTCACTTGGCACAACATTTTATGGACAGATATGACAAAGGTCAAATTACCAGAATGACGGAAAGAAAAGAGTATGAAGAAGGGAAGGAACTGCTCATGATCCAAAGCACACCACCACATCTGCTGAACCTAATTTGCATGTAAATAACCCCAAATTAAAGGTGAAAGTCTAAACTTTGAGCTCTTGTTCATTATTTAATTTCACCTCCAATGTGCTGTGGTACACAGCTAAAATAACAATAACTTTATCCAAATATTTATGGACCTGACTGTAAGTGTGGCTCACATGTTACATATACTCATTTGAAATACCAGTAGTATTACAATGATTAATGATGCAAATATAATTTTGCAATAATCAGTATTTTTTTTAATGTGACTAAAATAGTAAAATCTACCACAATATTGTGATGACGATGCTTTTTGTAATTTTGAAATATTTTTGTAGAACATTTCATCAGTTTTTCATTTCCTACCCTCTTACCTTCCTGAATTTTACAAGCTCATGTTTATTTGCTTGATTTTTGCCTGGCGGTTTCTTCAAATTGCCTGGGCTTAAGGGCCTTTTCTGCTCTTGGCATTGATGTTTCTAACCGCCTTTATCAGCTGGAGCTGGCAGCCCCCTTTCTGTGGAACAGCCCTTAGAAAAATAAAAGTAAGAAGTGCTCAGTGTAAATCCATGTCTCTTTTTGTCCCTTCAGCTTTGAAACATGGATGAGAAATTAATAAGTACCTTTGTGGCCTTATATGGTTGCTCATTAAGAAATTACTCTAATGGCCAGAGTCCACAGACGGGACAAACACAAGCATGCGGTTGTCTTTAAAATGTTCAGAATTGACAAGTAAAATGAACTAGAGTGAATGAGAAGAGAACATTTTAGAATCTTTCAACAATCAAACACAGGTATGGCACACCAACAAACGTTTATGTTGATTCATGTTTGTTTGTGTTTGTCCCGTCAACGTACTCTGGCCTTAAGACTGTTTATCTAGAAGGCAGAATTCTGTGGAATGAAGAGCTGAAGACCCATGTGCAAATATAAATATTAGGCTGCTGTTGATCAAAACAAGACTAAGAATGAACTGAGAGAGGAGTAAGATTTTATATAAGGCTCTAGGTTGTTTTCCATAACTTAGGCTAGGGTAGTAAATAGTTGCTCTAGTTCACATTAGTTTTAATCTAGGAAATGTGTTTCACAGGTCAGAATGGTGTGGTGAAAGAGATACATACAGGCAGAATGACACTAAAGTCCAATTTCACCTATAACACTGTTGTTTTATATGGGTCAGAAATAGGTTTAATCACATTTTCTTCACCCTGGAGGAAGTTAAATATTTTTCTAAAGACAGAAAGCTTGTACAGAGAAATGCATGATGAAGTGCATGCAAAGTAGAACTGCAGATTTACACAGACCGCACCTCTCTCCCACCTCAGTTATAAACTAATAGTGATGTTTCTTACACTTAAATGTAAGAAATCACAAAAATACTGATACAAAACAACTAAACAACAGCAAAAACAAGTATCATACAAATGATAACGGGAAAGGGCAAAAAGTTTTACTTTTAATGTAAGTTCATGTAAAAGCATTTTATTCCAAGCAGTTTTGGAGCATTTCTGTTGGCCCATTCATCATAAAATCTTCTCACAATGTAAAAGGCAGCTGCTGTGTTAAAAAAAATGTAGAAGAATGAAAGTTAAAAAAAGAATGACTTTTTTTAATCTACGATATGTAAAAAGTGTTATATCAGGAAAAAAAGTTGAAAGTAATAATGTAATGTAGGGAAAATTCTGTAATGCGTTTTTGCTGAGCAGCGGTGTGTGTTTTAGTTAAGCGGTAGGTTGTGTTAGACTCTGCAAGTATAGGTAGCTTAATGAGTTTCATGTGAAGAACTAAAAAGAAAAACAATGCATGATTATGTTAAAAATGAGTGATCTAGTATCCATGATACATAATCTCTATAATCCTTCTCCAAAAGTAGTCCATAGGCAGGGTCAGTGTCTTTCCCTAGTCAAACTCTGATAACTTAGACACAAGGGGGAGCTGTAAAACAAATAGAAGTTTAGCTCAAGTGGTTAAGGAAGTATTATATTGCACAGACAACAGGAATCTTACTACAGGAATCCAAACATCAGTTACTGATTAGTTTAAGCTTCTGTGATAACCTCCTGAATCGTTTTTTTTTTGGTAAATAAGTCTGTCTCTGAATTAAATGTAGATGTACCTCGTTGTTGTTTGTTTATAGATGATAATAATAGAGTATGATGATACTCAAGTTACACAAATAGAAGCTACAATAAGAAACACTAGCTGGTAACTCCCACTCCCACCTTTTCCCATCTCACTATCCCTTTATGTTTCTGTTTGCCTTTATTTAAGGAAGTTTAAACATAAATAATGCACTTTTACGTACAGAAGGATGATGCTGAATGATAGTGATGATGATGGGGATAAAGATGATGAGTTTCAGCAGATTTTATCTCTGACTTAAGAAACTTGTGTTGTGAGCTTGTTTATTTATCCAGCATATCCACTCATTGTATTGCTGCTTACACACAGAGTATTTTAAAAAAGGCTGCTCATGAAACATAACTGCTCTCAGCAGCGGCGTATACTTTTATCAGAAGGCATCAAACTTAGCAGCTCAGTGGAGTTGAAGAGCAGATGTTTTTGATAGCCGTTCTTGGTCCCTTTCTTTTCAGCTGCAGGTGAGGAGTGTTTTATTCTGAACTTGTCAAACCAGTCTGTCCTGTGGAAATGCACACAGTCACCAGAAGAGCAGGAGCTCTGCATGTCAGGACTGATTTGGCCAACCTATGCCAGTTTCATGATCTAATGCTGTCAGTCTTGACATTCAAAATTAGGCCCAGGTTAAGTGGGACAAATTAAAGTAACATTGCGCTTTGTTGCTTTTGTCAGACAACAAATGTAACTTAAATGTTGCTTTACGTGTGCTGAATAAGAATAAAAAGTTTGATTGATTGTAGGCATAACTTCATTTTTAAAATCAAATGCATAATGGTGATTATGAATAATAATTTGTATTCTAAAGTTTTAAGACTGTAATTTTTACATTATGCAATGCTTGTTCTTTGAATCAGTGCAGATATTGATTTAGAATAGCAGCATGTGTGAAATTTTTGAAAATGGAACATTGATAATGCATTTTGAATGTGGTAGCAGTATCTCACTGTCTTGTCTCTCTGTCTTTATTCTCTTACTATGAGTGGCTTTTAGCTGTCCCATTCCAGCTAAAAGACACCCATAGTAATAGACTAGAGGGGCCAGATCCTCTTTGAGCAGGTGCAGTATTTGGTGGGAAAACAAATCCCAACTTTTATCAGAAATGATTAGAAATGTAAATAAGTCATTCAAATGAAACTAATATCACTTAAGTTTCTAATACGTTTTTACCTGAACATAATCTATGCCCTTATAAGACCTTATGGGTGTGCTTATAAAAAGACCATTATCAAAAATTCACTTGTCTTCACATAGCTTCAATACCCACAGCCTTGAGAAGTCATTGTCGTAAATAAGTAATACGCAATAAGTAAATCTATATGATCAAATCCATCCATCGGCTTTTCATAGTAAACTTCTGCATATTGATTATGGGACGCTCTTGTTTGGAATAGGGACAGGTGTGGCCAGTGATTGATTACGCGGTAGCCAATTAAATATCAGGATCTTACTCAGGTCCCGCCCCGTTTAGAAACAAGGACCAATCAGAACGAGGATTACGTCCGCCCGCCCGCTTCGTTGGACCCAGGCTGAAGAGCAAGAGCTGTCGCCCTCCTCTAAGAAGAATTACGTTGTGAGAGCGTAACTTAGACGTAGTCCAAGTAAGCATGTTTTTATGAAACAAATGGTCGGTTTATTGGTTTTTTAATCAAGTAGAAGTGTGAAGTAAGCAGAAGTAAGCGCTTCTCAGAAGCCAATGCTCAAACACCGCGGCCACAGGAGTGCAAGGCGACTTGACTTGATCCGGCGTCCACACATAATTCCGAGTGAGTAGCTACAGCTAACGATAACTTACAGCTTTTAGAAAGGAGCTCAGTTCCACAGCGGTGCTGAGACTTTCGTAGCGTGAGCACTTCAGTGTTGCTGGGCGGTGTTTTATTTGTTAAAACGTACAAGCTACAAGCGCTCAACTCTCACTCTCGTTTTCTCTGCTTTTGGTTTGGTTGGTTTTGTTTTGTTTGCGTTAGCAGACGTGAGCACTGTGTCTGCACTTGACAGGGCGAGTCGAGCTCAGGACTCCTCCGGCTGTCTACATCTCTCCCACAGCAACTTTGTCTTCTTGTGGAATGTTTTTTTTATACCCAACCTGCTTGCTTGTACCAAAAAGTGTGCTTGATTTATTATTTATCTAGTATTTTACTGTAACTGCTGCCTCGAAGTTTGATAGACCACTCCATGGTTCACTTACATGACTTGGTGTCAGTGTGAATTACATTGCTTGGATAACAAGGTGCTTCATATTGTTCCTCAGCGTGTAGTAACATGACTATTATCTGCTGTAATAGTAGGCTGTTCTCTATTATTAAGGAAACTAATCTTTATTTTTGTTGGGTTGACGTTGTAGCCCATATTTCTGCATGCTTCTAAATGGACTGCACGGTTTATTTTAAAGTGGAGGAAACAGACTCAGGTGCCACAGTGCTGCATCCAGTTCAGCTCGGCTTGGCCAAAAGCATCTTAATATTGAGATCATCTCAACTGGTAGAGAGAGTGGTTGGTGTGATGCTTGCTCTACCATTTAAGAATCCTCTTTGTGCTAAGATGCTTTGGGAGACCATGCCCATGCCACTCAGTCAGTTAGAGAGAGAGCGTCGCCGCAGTGATATAATTCAGTGATATCATGATAATGATAATTTTATTCTGATATTTTCCAAATGGATGAAGTTTGCATTAATAAAGGTTATGAATCCATGCTTCCTGGGTACTATTGTTAGGCTGTGTGCTAAAATAATGTCTTACAAACACAACAATGGGAAATGTACACAGTTTTGTGAACATGAACAGACAGAAACCGCATTTCCAGAGAGAACTTTTTTAGATTTTATGTGTTTTGATCAGTCTGAAGCACCTAAATTTAAAATGTGCTATATTTCATGTATTATTTTTTCCCTGAGTATGTTAATTGCAGCAAATAAACAGCAGTTATGTGTTAAAATGTGCAGACTGTGTTAACTTATTTTCATTTAGAAAATCAGCAAAATGTAATTTGACCAGGGGCACCTAAACTTTTGTGTATGACTCTATATAGAAAAGTCACTGAAAGTGTTTTGATGTAAATGAGGTACATTTATAGAGATTTTTTTTAAACAGTGGGACAAGAATCAGGGGTTGTGATGAATACAACTCAAATACAGCCATTTCTTTACACACATCTATTTTTGAAATTTACTATGCTCTTTGAGTTGCTATACAGAAAGTATATTGCTATGCAGAAGCACAGTTCACTTCAGTTCACTTGCATATAACTAATGCTTGTTATCAACACACACACACATGCACACATTTTCTAGGCCGCTTATTCTTCTGGGTCGCGTGGGGATTGTCATTGTGTGGAGGCGTTATTAATACAGCCAAAACTAAAAATTAAGATTATGGAATTGATGATAGATTGCCCTGCACTAGTTAGACGTAGCCAGATGATCATCAGTGTGTTTCACGTTTAATTTTTATTTTATTTATTTAGCTGTTTATTTAGCCTGTGTAGGAAAAGTAAGCATACAGCCTGTAAATGTTGTATATGACCTCGGTCCCTAGTTGGTCCTGTAGATGTGAGCTGGTTTTTAGTTCTGGTCTGTCCCTTGCAGGCTACTGAGAGCGGTCAGATATCACCGCTCACCCAGCTCTTCTCTCTTACTCTGCTCTCTCTTTTTTTCCTCTCCTGGTCCTCTGCACGAGGAGTCTGTTGACAGTCCCTCCTGATCTGCTTCTGATCAAACAGCTTTAACCTTTCAGTGCACTGTCTAATTAAGCACTAGTGAGAGAAGTGAGATGTGCTGTGTGTCTTGGAGTGAACTCTTCATGCTGAGGTGAGTTGGCTTACAGCTAGTCTTTTTCACTCCAGTTTGCATTCCATTCTCTCACTGTTGGCCTTTAAATGCGCAGGATTCCAGGATGTCCCATGGGTGCTGTCTAATATGGCTGCTGGACAGGGGTCGAGGGGAGTGTTTACTTTGGAATTCCATTGGGATAAGTGAAGGTTGAAAGATTGCAGTCTCTGTTGTGTAGTTTGACCTGTTGCTTGGGTTAAACAGATCTGGAGTGTCTGTACCACCCTACCTAGATCAAGTCCTCTGAGGTCTTTCATCACCTAAAGATCTTCCTGTGCTCAGATGGACACCCCATGATGAATACACTGACAATCACAAAAGTAAAAAATGCCTTGTGCTGCACCCAAAAATTAGACTTTGTTTATTTACATTTATTTCTCTTTTTCTAAAGCTACTTGTTTGGGTTGATTATGCTTTGACCAGTCTTTGTGGTCCTGTTTTGACAGCTGGCCAAGAAATATGATTCATTTTTGTTACTTCTGTATTAAGAATGTATTGTACTGTGGTGCAGATTTGCTTATCATCGCTCCCCTAATACTGTGCACTTTGTAGGTTTACAGTTACTGACTGTAGCCCATCTGTTACTGCACAATTTATCAGCCCCTCTCTACCCCATCCATCAGTGTCCACTACAGGACTAATAGTGACTGGGGTAGACATATAAAAACGTGCACTGGCTGCTCTGGCCACCAAACCAATCAATAACACAGAATTAAAGAAATTGTTTACATTGTATTTGCAATAAACAAGTGTGCTTCAATACCAAAAAACAGTCAGCCGTTGCTTCCGAGACCTCACGTCCACTCCATGTTTTTCATTGTGCCAATCAAACCAGGGAATGACGTGAAGGGATCCTCAGTTTCACAATGTAGTCAACCAGACTGAAGATCCTGCTGGCCCACCTTTATCTTACTCAGGCTTTTGATCAACCTGTTGTTCTGTTTTTGGGACTGCTGAGGTTCATTACGCTATCATAGTGCTTGTGTTGAAAGCTGCTGCTGTGCTTTTGAATATTATGTTTTCCAAACGAGTTACACCTCGTGAAAAACGAGCATGTGGTGTCTGCCTGTTGTGGAAACTAACGACATGCTCAACAGATGTCAGTTGCTGTCACTTCAGCTCTCGTGGTGTTAGAGCTATTACATTACAGTTGGCAAATTCTGACAAAATCTGATATGATGCTTTTAGTTCTGTGTCTGAGCAAAAAGGCTCTGGATCTCATGCAAGAGGGTGAAAAGTACTTTTGTTATTAATTGTAGAAGTATGTGAAAGTGTGAAAATACTGGCAGCTTGTTAAAAGGGGAAAAACACTGTTTTTAATGGCCAGATAAAACCATGTGAGCAGGCATCATTTGAGTGCTTGACCATTCTCAGCACAGCAGTGACATCAACATGGAAATGATATGGTAGTTTGTGTTGCACTGGTACGTGCGTGTCACAGCGGTGTTGCTAGAGTTTTTAAAAGCTGTATACACTTACTGTCCACTCTATTAGACACACTTACTGTGTTGCTAAAAAGTAAGATTTGCTGTTGATACTTTGTAGCTCCCAGCTGATGATGGACATGATTTTAAGTTCAAATAAACAAATGTTATTCACTGCTGCCCTCTCAGTGTAGTATCACTAACTTTTGTTATTTGTGAGACCCGTGGGATTGTATTAAAATTAGTTTTCTGCTTTTTATGTGCATTTGTCTCAACCCAACTGATGAAAGTGCAACCAGTTCACTTTGTTTGTTGCGTCCTATACATATAATTGTGAAAGATAACGACTGTGAAAATAACTGCAGTCAGCTAAAACAATTGCGATTATCTCAAATAATTGTAATTGTGTAATAATTGTGACAGGCCTGTAATTCATCTTGTTCCATCAGCAGTTTGTTAGTCATCCTCTAGTCATTTATCTGTGGTGTTTAAAAGCTCTAGTGCATCCATATGGTAGGTGTAGCTATCTGAGTGGCAACTCTGAGTACATACATACATGTTCACCTATAGCATATGGAATTTTTTTTCCCCTTTTGGGCTTTCATTACATATTATTTGCATGAGTGCTCTGACATCAATTTCATCATACCTAACAGCTATGAAGTAAAAGTAAAGTCTATGGATTATTTAATTAACTCTGTTAGGAGAATAGAGCTAGTGAGAGGACTGATATCAAAACGGTAAAATAGCCTGGGGATAGTAAGAGCAAGTTACCTTTTTGTGCAGATTTACAAACTGTAGCTACTGCAAAACATTTTAAAAGCAAAGGCAAACTTTACTGACATTCTTGCTCACCACAGCCATGTACTGAGTGAGGAACAAAATGTAGTTCCTCCGGAACATGCTGCAACATTCATCACAGAGCAGTAGCACATAAGGACAATTGGCAAGTTCATATGGACCACGTTGATCTCACTTCCCTGATTGTGTCCATGATCTAGCACCATATCCAAGGTACAGTGAGCCTCTGCTCAGGTATTTAGCAGAACATGTCGCCATCAAATGCTGTTTATCAAAGCACTGGGTCTTAGAAGTAGACAGCAGGAGGAGAATAAGAGAACTGTTTTAAAATAAAGCTCTCTAAGTAAATCAGCGCCTGAGTCATAATCAATTAAACACAGAATTGGGTAAAGTAGTTTAGATAGTGTTGCTGTTTTTATCATAGTGGCAAGGACAAAGGGCAAACTATTTCTTTTGAGCACTTCCTTGGTGTTGCCTTTCAGATACTGAATGACTGCCAAAAGCTGATCTGGAGCCAAAAGTGAGTTTGTCAGCCGTATTCTGTTTAGGAAAAGGAAAGAAGCTTGTTGGGGGACGAGGGGGAGGGGATTGAATGTGTGTACAGTAATAGTAGTAACAGAGGCTAGTACAGTACTTTCCAATCCCAGTCCAGGGAAGATCATATTTTCCCTAACACTGCTGTTCAATTTAACAGTTAATCATTATAGTTAATAA